TATTTTCTACTAGTAATTAGTTTTTCTTTTAAAAAACTTCTTCTTTATCTTTTATAGATCTAGTCTAGCTTTATTTCTAGATAGTTCTTTTATTATTTTATATATAAAAGTATCTTCTATTTAATATTTTTATAATTTCTAGTTTCCTTCTATTTAGAAGCTTTTAATAATTGTAATATAATTCTATTTTTATTAATTAACTATTTTTAATATCTCATTTTTATTTTTATAAATAGAATTATAATAGCTTTTTATAAAAACTATTTTTAATTATTTAACTATTTATTTTTTATTTTCTTTTCTTTATTTTTTATAGTATTTTAAGTAAGCTATATTATTTTATCTTATCTAGAAATCTAATTAAGATTTACTTAAGGGACTCTTTAAGCTTTACCTATAGGTTATTATTTTTATTATAGTAAATAAATTACTTAAGCTAGAACTAGAAAATTGAAATTAAAATTAAATTAATTATAAGCTATATATATATCTTAATATAATAGTAGTTTATAATAAAAGTAAATATATTAAATAATTATATTTTTATTAATTAATTACTTTTTAAAATATAAAAATATATAGATAAGCTATTAGTAACTAGTTATTAAAAATAGTTAAATTAAATTTCTTATTAAAATTAAAATTAAAGTTTTCCTTAATAAAAAACTTTTATTAAATATTAAAATATAAAATCTTATTAATTAATTAATTTTTAAAATAGTAAAAGCTTACTAAAGTAATTAAATATTATCTAATTATATTAAGTAATAAATAGTAGATTATATAGATAACTATCTAATATATTAATAATAGGATAGGATAATTATTAAGAATTAATTTATAACTTTTTATAATATAATATTATAGGTAGTATTTATTAAAGTTATTAGATAGCTATTAGGTTTTAATAGAAGTATATTAGAAAGACTTATTATAAGAGCTTCTTTTTAGGAAGTAGAAAAAGAAAGTTAAGTTTCTTTTAAGCTTTTTATAAAGTTAGGAGGAGGGAGAAAGTAGGCTTTAGTAGATAATTTTACTTAGATCTTTTCTATAACTTTTACTATTATATACCCTATAAACTAGCTATTTTTAATTTTTTTAGCTTCTTCTTTTTCTTTAGCTTAGCTAGTTTTATTTTCTTTAGCCTAGTTAGGGGGAGGTACTTAGTCCTTTACTTTTAAGGAAGAAGAAGTAGTTTCTTTTAAAAAAGAAAAAGTAGATTTTTCTAATATAGAAATAGTAAAGGTTTCTTCTTTATTAAGGGGAGGAAAAAGAAAGGTATTTACTAATACTTAATACTACTATCTTTAATATTATTAAGCTATAGAAGCTATATACTAATTATATTACTTCCCTTATATCCTAAAAGTTCTTTAAGCTTATAATTAATTAATTAACTATTTTTAATATCTTATATAGTCTAAAAAGTTTAATTATAGTAAGGGATAGTAGATAATTAATCTATAACTTTTTTTTACTATATTAAATAGATAGTATTTACTAATTAACTATTTACTTATTTTACTTTATAAATATTAAAAACTATTAATTAGTAAGTTTTTACTTACTTAATATATTTTTTTTTCTTTTTTTCTTTCTTTTTTATTTCTTTTTAATATTATCTTTTTTTTTTAAAATCTTCTTTTATTTTAATATTTTTATTTTTTTAACTAAGTTAGGGGGAGGTACTAGTACTTAGCTTATTATTATATAGAAAAAGTAGCTTCCTATTCTTATATAAAAGAACTAGAAAAGATTCTTCTTATATAAAGGAATTAGAAGAAGAGGAAGAAGTAGTAAAGGTTTCTTTCTAGTTAAAAAGAGGAAAAAGAGAAGAGCTACTTACTAATTCTACTACTTTTTCTAGTTTCTAGAAGTTATTAAAGTTTATAAACTATTAATTAATAAATTTTTACTTACTAAATATTTTTCCTTTTCTCTACTTTTTTTTTATTCTATTTCTTATTTTAGTTTTTATTTTATTTCTTATTCTATTTCTTATTTCTATTTTATTTCCTTTTTCTATAGCTTCTTTAGTTATTCTAGTATAGTTCTAGTAGCTATTTTAGCTATTTCTAATATTTATTTCTTTAGCTTACATTTTCTAGTAGTATTTTATAATTCCTAACTACTACTAATAACTATTCCTTTAATATTTTATATTATTATAGCTACTTAGTCCTTTAATATTTTTTCTAATATTTTATATAGTATTTCTTTTAATATTTTATTTCTTTTAAAATTCCTTTAAGGAATTCTTTCTATATTTCTATTAGTAATTCTTTTAATATTACTATAAAATTCCTTTTATATCTATTCCTTCTAGAATTCTTTAATAAAATTCCTCTATAAGGTTTCCTACTAATATTATTATAGTAATTATTTTAACTATTTAGATATTTCTATTTTACTATAATATTTTTAGCTAATATAGCTAATATAGTTAGTTTAATTATTTTAGATATTATTAGCTAAATTATTTTAGATATTATTAGCTATTTTAGCTAATATTTCTAGCTTACTTAATATTACTACTAATAACTATAATATAAGAGTTCTAATTATTTTAATTTTAGTTATTTTTTATTATTAAAATTATTTATTTCCTAGTATTAGCTTACCTTATTTCCTATTACTATAGATACTACTAGTTAAACTAAGCTAGGAAAGTTAAAAGTTAATTTTTAGTTAAAATAGTTTCCTTCTTTTTTTCTAGTTTTTTTATTTTTTTTTTTTATTTTTCCCTATTTACTTATTTTATTTCTATTTTTCTAAACCTTTTTATTCCCTTTAATTATTTTAATTTCTTTTCTTTCTTTCTTTCTTTTCTTTTTTTCTTCCCTATTCCCTTTTTTTTTCTTTTCTATTCTTTCTTCTTTCCTATTATCTACTTCTTCCTTTTATTTATATTTTAAGTTTTTACTTAATATATAAAATAATAACTTAAAAAAAGTATATAATAATAAAAAAGGAGATATTAAAAAAAAGAAAAATATTCTTATATAACTATAAAAATAGACTAAAAAAACTTTATTTCCTACTATAAACTATAATTATAATTATTTCCTTTTTTTCTTTTTTCTAAAAGGAATTCTAAAAGTTTTTCTTCTTTAACTAAGTTATTAATTATATTTTCTACTAGTAATTAGTCCTTCTTTTAAAAAACTTCTTCTTTATCTTTTATAGATCTAGTCTAGCCCTATTTCTAGATAGTTCTTCTATTATTTTATATATAAAAGTATTCCCTATTTAATATTCTTATAATCTCTAGCTTCTTCCTATTTAAAAGCTTCTAATAGTTATAATATAGTTTTATTTCTATTAATTAATTATTTCTAATATCTTATTTTTATTCCTATAGGTAAAATTATAATAGCTTCTTATAAAAACTATTTTTAACTATTTAACTATTTATTTTTTATTTTTCTTTCCTTATTTCTTATAGTATTTTAGGTAGGCTATACTACTCTATTTTAATATATATATATATATATATATAATTAAATTTTATAATAACTTTTTTTATTTTTATTTTTATAATTTTAAAGTAAACTATATATTTTTAGTATTATTACTTTTTTTTATTATTTTTATTATATAAAAAAAACTATTAACTATAATATTTACTAGTTAATAGCTAGTAAAATTAACTATAGAAGAACTAGCTTTACTAGTTCTAATATAAGTAAAACTTAAAATATAAAAAATAGCTTTATTACTTTTTTTATATACTAGATAGATTAAAAAAGTAATCTAATTATTTATCTTTATATCTCTCTTATATACTTTTTATAGTAATATAACTACTACTATTATAAGTAACGACGTGGTCCTTAGTATTACTAGTACTCTTACGAACTTCTGATATAATAATATTATAAAATAAATTTTAAATTTTTATTATTTATATAATATTTTAATTTAAAAAAATTAATATTTAAATATAATATTATTTTTATAAATTTTAAATTTTAACTTTATATAATATTAAAATACTTATAAAAACTTTATTATATATTCTAAATTCTTATCTAGTTTTAGAAAGTCGGTGGTTAGTGACTGGTTACTACCTTCTTCTATGTGTCTTCAAGCATCCTCATAATGGACTGGTTCTTGTTGAACCAGTCCCAAAGTTGGGCTCCCGAGAGATCCATCTCCATGTCCACATCCCTACTAAATGCCGTGGTCTGCAACGCCGTAGGCCCGACCAGCCCATCCGCAAGCCCCCTCCCGTCCCCATTCACCTCGCCGTGCGACGGCATTTGACCAAGTGCATCTGCAGTATTCGTCGTCCGCAGGTCTCCCACAATTCCTCCAGAATCCAATGAATCGGGTCCGGGACCGTTCGAAGTCGTGCTGGCGAACGCATCGACACACTGCTGCCGAGCCATTGACCACAGCATCCCCCCCTCCCCACCGTCCGAACGGGATTTGACCTCGACGTACTTAGCCGCGACGTCATACAACGCCTTGAAGAGGCGACGTTGCTTGGCACATGTATTATGTGCGTGGGAGTTCGATGTAGACTCGAGTGTCTCGACAAGACCTCTCATGTGCTCGAGGTCTGAAGCCTCGGACGTCTCGATGATGTGGCAGAATAGGATGATGAAGGGGATGAACGGGGACTGGATGATGGTCCTACATCTCCATGTTAGATCGATCTGGTCGAGGACGGAGGGCGGAATCTTCAATCACGAACCAGTTGATGTATGCTTCAAGGAACACCGTTTTCCCTCGAGCCTTGATAACCACGGCGACGCACTGGTCGTGTTCTTGGAGCGTATCTCTGGCAGCATCGATGCATTCTTGACAAAAAGCGGACGTCGAGGGCTTCTCCGGGGCGATGCTCCGGTAGATGAGCGTAAGCATGGAAAGGCCGATGACTCGGTCGGAACGTCTTGCTATCTCGTGGTAATCTAGCCCCAGCACTTGGCCTTTGCTCGCCTCGTAGTGGTCCTGTAGCCAGTCAGACGTCGGCGTTGTCTCGAGGCGTGATTGGGACGAGATAACTTCACGATCCCGGGCAGGTGGCCGGGACAAACTCACGTGGATGTCTTGCGCATGTTGCATGGCAGTTTTTAACTCGGCCGCAAGAGCCCGAGCACGAGACGTTCGGATGTGCGGCGGTTGCATGAGGGCTCCTGGACTGTAGATCTCGTCGTATATCCGGCCCTGTATACTCGCCATGTTGATCCAGCCGGGGGCGAGTTCGGCCAAGAAAGAACCGCCGGAACGCTCCATACCAAGACGGGTCAGGGTGATGTCCTGGTCTCGAAAGGTCGATGAACGACCCAGGCGTAGCGACAGCATCTTCTCAGTCATGTATATGGTCCAGAATAAGTTTCTCTTCTGGGCCTTTTCTTCGGGTCCCTCCATGTCTGCGGGCGCGTTATGTTGCAAGCCAAGAGCTTGTATCATATGCGAGGCCGAATTGATGAAATTCCAAGCGGCAGATGGCTTGCTCTTCTGGAGGCAATACAACGACTAGTAGGTATGGTCAGTCGGAGCTGGGTCTTTCCTTGGTTCTCGCGAGAAACAGGCAAACAACTTACCGCCATACCCATTGCATATACGAAGTCCATACTTGTTTGCTGATGAAAGCGAAGGTTGGCAAGGACAGTCTCGAGGTTCGCCTCGCATATGAAAGCCTGCCCGTAGTAGTCTTGCTTCATTTCTTCGTCGGTGACGGCTTTGGAGCATTCGCAGAACAACCAGTAAAGACCGCAATGGACGATGATCAAGTCGGCTTCGGTGGCTGGACCAGGCGATGCGATTTTAATAAAGTACTCGCTGAACTGGGTGGGCCTAATAAAGTCGCCCAGCCACAGCATGGCCACTTGCGGGCATTCCCTGGCCATACGCAAGCACATGAACACCTTGTCGATGGGTGGCAAAGGAAGGTTACGGGTCGTCGAACCGAATGGGATCTCCTTGGCAAGAGGATACAGTCTATCGACCGTATCAGACTGTTGTTTCCCAGACTGAACGGCAGCCTTGAGGCCGTCAAGGACGGCTTCCATCTCTTGCGCGACCTCAGCGTTGGTCGTGTTGTTAACGGCCTGCTGTAGAAACCGACCAGCGAAGACGGCGTGAGCGAAAAGCGACGATTCACCCTCATATTCCGCTTTGGAAGAGTCGCGCTGCACCTCACGGACACCCTCGCCGGTGGGGTTATAAGGTAGGGCCCCTTGGTTTGGTGTGGAGCCGAGTGAGGAGGAAGATGGTGTTGGTCCGAACGAGAATGGCGAGCTGCGTTCCTCCTGGCTGGTGTCGATAGGGTCTGCAAAGTCGAGGGGTTTATAGGTTCTATTCTTGGTCGGCTCATGACTCAATTGGCTCATCCTCTGGCTGAGCTCGTCGATTTTCCTCGATATTGCATCCAATTTAGAATCACTTGATGAATCTCAGCATGGTGTTTAGCCTTGAATGGGGCTTAGTAGACTGTTGGTTATCTTGCAGTTACTTACTATGTGTTCGAGACCATGACTCGCTGCCGCCTTTCTCTAGGCTTGGGGCCGGGCGCATATGAGCATTGTGTCCCAGCTTTAGCACAGTGAGAACACGGGCTCGCCCGGTCGCATTTCACCTGGACGAGAAATTAGACACTGATACCCACGTATCGGTGCATGAGGGACGGAGTCTCATCTTCACCTTACGTTGGCGACATCGATGACACTACTTTCGAAGAATGATCAGCCACATGATATGATTTCTATTTCACATAAGGTAGGTCCATTGGTAAGCTCACTGCTAACTTCTCGGTTGCTGTAGGAGTCTGTTCTTCGTCTTCCTCAGCCCGCGAGAATGAGACACCTGGTCCTTCTTCCATCGAGAGTGAGTGAGTGGGTGGGGCACGCAGAGGCACTGCCGCCCGGTACATGTACGTCGTGTTTTGGTTGGCGTCAATTGGTCACTTGGTCAATTGGTTCTTCTCGCCGTCCGAAAGCCTTACAGGCGAGCGAGGCGTACAAGGTCAGGAACCTGCGTTAGTATAGGCAAGAGGCACCGGAGCCTAGATGGGATATTGGGATCCGAAGAGATAGCTACGTCATGTGGGCCTTAAAAGGCCTCGGAGCCCCAGCGCACGCGACCTCCGAGTCTCACTTCGCTACGGGCGCCGTAGCGACGGCGAGGCTTGGCGCTAGCCCTCGGAACTTCGGAGGCTCGGAGGCTCCGCCCTCCGCACCACTGGCGGACTGTGAAGGAGGGCGAACATCACGATACCTAGGATCTTGACACCGGGCGTATTAACCTCCAAGCTCCCGAGGCATTAGAAAGCAAAGGTGAAACGCGTTCTGGCAACGCAAAAGGATTCGGAGATGTTTTCTATTGAACCCAAAACGTTTCCTCCCTTTTCTCATTTTCTACATATTCACTCCTCTTTCCCAATCGCCTTCTTCGTTCCTTCCAGTCGCTTTCTTCTCTCCTTCTAATCGCTTTCTTCTTTCTAATCACTTTCCTTCCCTAATCTTTTTTTCTCCTAACAACTATCTTTCATTAGAACCGGCAAGCTCGACATCTTGCTTCAAGTGTCCACTCGTTTCTTCCCTTTGTACACTATAACACGGAGCGAACAAGATGGCAGCGTCTTTGGGCCTTCGAGAAGGCGAGAGTGCTGCTGGACTAGCCAATGATTCTCAAATCCCAATCAAACCTGAGAAAGAGAATGTCGAGTCCCCCGAGAAGAAGGTCATGAATGGCTTCCTAGTAAGTCTGTCCGGAGAGTTGATGGCTGCGTCCTCATCTCTATGAGTAGTGGCTGACGAGTCGGGACGATGTATCTTACAGAGAGTTTTTACTTTCGGCGATACCAAACTCTACATCCTCGAATGCATTGCTTTCATAGCTGCTATAGTGTCCGGAGTTGCTCTCGCCATGGTGAACTTGGTCATGGGACAGTTCTTGACACTGCTTAGCGACTTCAGCTTCTCCGAGGTGAACTCAATGCCAGGCAATTTTATGTCCGCTGTGCAGACGTCGGTGTAAAAGCATTGTCCCTCTTGTTTTCTTCTAGACGATGGCAAGGGTCATGCTGATGCAGTCAAAAGTCTCTACTTCGTTTACATAGGTGTCGCCCGTCTCGTGGCTACCTACATCTATGCCTCTCTCTTCACCTACGTCGCGTATCACTTAACCCGCAACGTCCGACGAAGCTATCTACTGGCTGCTTTAGGCCAAGAAATCGCCTACTATGACCAGGGCACCTCCGGCTCCATATCTCAGCAGGCGACCACAAACGGCAAGCTCATCCAGTCCGGCATCGCAGAGAAACTCGGCATCGTCATCCAAGCCATCTCCACCTTCGTGGCGGCATTCGTGATCGCATTCGTCACACAATGGAAGCTAACTTTGATCCTCATCTTTATGGTGCCAACTCTGCTCGTTGTTCTCGGAACGGCGGGTGGTATCGACGCCATGATCGAGACCAGGATTTTGCAGGTCTACGCCCAAGCCGGTAGCTACGCCGAAAACGTTCTCGGAGGCGTCCGGACCCTTCAGGCCTTCAGCCTTCGACCGAGGGTGATTGCTAAGTATGACTCTTACCTCCAGGATGCGTACACCCAGGGAATGAAAAAGAATAAGCTATACGGCGTCGTGTTCGGAGGGCAGTATTTCGTCGTCTATGCCGGCATGGGCCTGGCCTTTTGGCAGGGCACCGCTATGCTTGACCGCGGAGAAATTTCCAACCTGGGAACCGTCTTTGTGTCAGTACCTATCCTCTCGCAAGCCAGCAGCCAGACCGTCATTTCGCTATAGAGATCGAGGGACTAACTAAGATATCAGTGTTCTCTTCTCCGTCATCCTCGCTGCGAGTACGGTCATGCAAGTAACGCCACATATGGTCACCTTCAGCCGCGCGGCAACCGCAGCTTCGGAGCTGTTCGCTCTCATCGATAGGCAATCCGAGATTGACCCCTTCAACGAATCGGGAGACAAACCCGACGAAACTGCCGGCATCATCGATCTGCACGGTATCAACTTCAGCTATCCTACCCGTCCAGATGTCGCCGTTCTAGAGGACTTTACCTTGAATATCCCCGCAGGCAAGGTCACGGCGTTGGTGGTGAGTAGTTCCTGATCCTAATCTATCGTGGAAAGCTCTAATTAGGCGTTGGGGAAAAGGGACCGTCCGGCTCAGGAAAAAGCACCATCATCGCCCTGCTTGAGCGGTGGTATAACCCCCATGCAGGCAGCATTCTCCTGGATGGCAAGGACATCGGTCAGCTCAATCTCAAGTGGCTGCGGACCAACGTCCGTCTAGTTCAACAGGTATCTTACCCAAAGCGCGTGCCCCAGGTTTACAAGACACTTCTCTAACGAGTCTAGGAACCGGTGCTCTTTAATGGCAGCGTGTTCGAAAACATTGCCAACGGCCTCGTCGGCACACAGTGGGAGGGAGCATCGCAAGAAGACCAAATGCAGCGCGTCCAGGAGGCCGCGAAGCTAGCCTTCGCGCACGACTTCATCCAGAATCTGCCGCGAGGATACTACACACGAATCGGCGAGAGAGGCGGCCTGCTCTCGGGCGGACAGAAGCAGCGGATCGCGATAGCCCGCAGCGTCATCTCCGAGCCCAAGATCCTACTCCTCGACGAGGCGACTAGCGCGCTCGACCCGCACGCCGAGGGCATCGTCCAGAAGGCCCTCGACAGCGTCTCTAAGAACCGGACGACCATCGTCATCGCGCACAAGCTGGCAACTGTTCGCAACGTGGATAATATCGTGGTCATGTCCGAGGGCAAGATCATGGAACAGGGGCGTCACGAAGAGTTGGTGTCTAGGAACGGAATCTACGCTACTCTCGTCAAGGCCCAGGATCTCGCGCCGGCCAACATTCAGAAGAACCGCGGCTCGGGGGGCACAAGCACGTCCGATGAGGCCTCGGAAAAGGGAGGCGATCGTGTCGATCGCGTTCAGTCTCTTGCCGGGATCCAGATGGGCGAGGCGCGACAACTAGCTGCCAAGGACCCGGAAGACCACAGCTTGTATGAGAAGACGGGCATTATCCACAGCATTTGGAAGCTTCTGAGAGGGACGCCGGATATCTGGCCTTGGTTCGCGGTCACAATAGCCACATGCATCGGAGGAGGTAAGTGGTCTCGACTGAGACTGGCTTCCCCAGCTCCAGCGCCGAAGAGTGTTACACTGCCGTTACACTTGCTCACCGCGACGTCACTCGCAGCCGCCGTCAACCCTGGGCAAGCCCTTTTGCTAGGCAACATCATGAGCGTCCTTACGTCTGCAAACATAGTCGCTCGCGGCAATTTCATCTCGTTGATGTTCTTCGTCATGTCACTCGGCATTCTCATCATATACTTTGCCATGGGCTGGTCAACCAATACTATCGCACAGGTGAGAGCTACCATGTCTTTGGCGCGGGGAGAATGCCATTTCCAGTCTCGCATCACTATTCTGACCACGAACGTACTGCATCCTAGGCTCTCAGCAGGAAGATGCGACGGGAAATCTTAGAGTCCTTCCTCCGGCAGGACCTCCGGTTCTTCGACCGGCCCGAAAACACGGTCGGCGCACTCATCAGTCGCCTCGATTCCTACCCGCAGGCCATCGTGGAGTTGATGGGTTTCACCGTCGCCATCATCCTCATGTCGGTGATTAATATCGTCGCGTCGAGCGTCCTGGCCATCATTGTGTCTTGGAAGCTCGGGCTGGTCGGTGTCTTCGTCGGGCTGCCGCCCATGATGCTAGGTGGCTATACGCGCGTCAGGCTCGAGACTAAAATGGAGGACGAAATAGGCCAGAGGCTGTCGGCTAGCACTTCAGTGGCTTCGGAGGCGGTCATGGCGATCCGTACCGTCTCTTCGCTCGCCATCGAGAGCACTGTCCTAAGGAAGTACGTCGACGAGCTCGACCTCGCGATCTCTCAGGCGAGCGGGCCCATGTTCCACATGATGACCTGGTTCTCTCTTACGCAGTCCGTCGAGTACTTTGTTCTGGCCTTGGGGTTTTGGTGAGCCTTCGCTTCCTAGTTTTGCGGAGTCATGTGAAGCGACTCAGCTGATTAATTGTGCAAACAGGTGGGGATCGAAGCTGATCAACGACGGGGAAATCAGCTTCTATCAGTTCATCGTGTCGTTTATGGGTGTTTACTTCTCCGGCCAAGCCACTGCGTTGGCTTTCAGTTTCGCCAGCAGTGAGTCCGGGCGGGGCTCCAAGCGTGACGGGATCGAGTTACTGACAGCGTCCAGGCTTCACCAACGCGAACCAAGCCGCCAACTACTACTTCTGGCTTGCCGGGCTCAACGGGACCATCCGTGAGACTGACGACAGCCGCAAAAAGGGGCCCGAGAGCGGGTGCCGCTCCTACGACTTCCAAGACGTGAATTTCTCATACCCCCTGGCGCCGGACAACCAGGTTCTCAAGGGTGTGTCTCTGTCAGTAAGTGCCTACTGTGCTCGAAGGAAAGCAGCCCTGTACCCCTTTTTGGGGGAGGGGGTTTGAAACGTCTTCACTAACACTAATGCTTTAGATTCAACGAGGCGACTTCGTGGCATTCGTGGGAGCCTCAGGTTGCGGAAAGAGTACCATGATCTCGCTCCTAGAGCGCTTCTACGACCCGACAAGCGGCGCCATCATCATCGACTCGACTGCACCCCTATCGTCCATCAACCCGCGTCTGTACCGGGAGCAGGTGGCCCTGGTGCAGCAAGATCCGACGCTCTTCCCAGGCACGATCCGCGAGAACATCTCGCAGGGGGTGCCGAATCTAGGTGCGACGGAGGCGGCGTCGGACAAGGCGCTGGAGGAGGCGTGCCGGATGGCCAACGTGTGGGACTTCGTCTCATCGCTGCCCGAGGGCCTCGACACGCCGTGCGGGGCGAGCGGCAGCCAGCTGTCGGGGGGTCAGCGGCAGCGCATCGCCATCGCCCGCGCGCTGGTGCGCAAGCCCAACGTGATCCTACTTGACGAGGCGACGAGCGCGCTGGACACCGAATCGGAGAAGCTCGTCCAGAGCGCGCTGTCTGAGGCAGCGTCGTCTAGGGACAGGATCACCATCGCTGTAGCGCACCGTCTCTCGACAGTCCGCGATGCCAACTGCATCTTCGTCTTCCACGCAGGCAAGATTGCGGAGGCCGGGACACACGGCGAGCTGGTTGCGAAACGGGGGATGTATGCCAAGATGTGTGAGGCTCAGAAGCTGGACGGCGCTGCATGATTTCTTCCTCGAGAGCGTCCGACGTTGTAGTGGAAGGTTGTTAACCGAGACTCTGGAGAACGAGTGTTACACGAAAGGAACTACTAGCTGAAACACTCACAAGCTAGCAGCTGTCAGGACCGGCTATGGCAGAACTGGTGGAGCCAGTTCTGGCATGGGTAGAACCCAAGGTATAAGAAGTGGCTCTACTACCTCCTCTACATACTAGACGGAGAGAAAAGCCAATCCATTATCTATCTTCACATCTCTTATCGTACACTTCTTACAGTGACGACGTGACCCTTAGCATTCTACCAGCATTCCCAAGGACTTCTGGCGTAACAGCGAGCGAGTATGTTGCGGGTCGCTGAAGTAAAGGCCGACAGAGGAGGAACGATTCCTCACAGGACAGCCAAGGCCTGCTACTATTCCTTGTATTAAAAGCACGTGCAACCGGCTAGGCGATAATTCGTATAAGACGACAGTAATTATAATATAAACACTAAATAACTACTACTTTAACTTATTTTAAAAAACTATATTATAAAGTTTATTTAAAATTTATTATATATTATAATATTATTAAATTTTTAAATTAAAAATAAATTAATTAATAATAATATTTATATATATATATTATTTTTATATATAATTATAAATAATATATATTATATATAAAATAAAATTATTAAATAATAAAAAAGTAATAATAAAATTAATTTTTTTAAATT